GAATTTCACTAGTATTAGAAAAAGGAAGGTCTTCTTGCCTCTATAGAGGGCGCTTTTCACCTCTTGTCGGCACGGCATATCCCCTGCTGTCAGATCGTTAGCTCCTTTGAAATCGAAGCATTAAGTACTCGAGGGATTAGTTAGTCTTTTTCCCACTTGATGGCAGGGCACTCCTAGGGGAAGGCCTTAGTGCTTAACTACACTGGTACCCTAGCTCGGGTAACTATTATTATTATTACAAATAATAGTTAATCGTCTTACTCTTTTATTTGTAAAGGAAATCAGATATGGTTTATGCTTAACTTCTAACTTGAAAAAGATCTTCACTTTAAATAGCGTTCCTAGGGAAGGATTATTTTCTTACTTTCCTGGAACTGGAACTGGATAGCCTGGAAATGGATGCGCTTACAACTATAATGAGAATGTAAAGAGACGTAACTGGATTTGCTTTGCCCCCTTAAAACTTGTCTGCTAGATAGAGATTCTTTTTATCCCTTATTCCCAACTCCCTTAGCTGAACATTCTATTCTGCTTATAATGAAGTTGAAAATCTTACCTTTCAGATCGGGAGAAGCTCAATTCGCGGATGAAGAAGAAGAATGGAATCTCTTTCTCTACTCTTTATAGTTTTTATAGTTTTCGAGCTCTATTTGTCCGTTTAGCCCTTTGACTCTTTGTCTGGAGAGAAAGCATATTAGAATAGTGCTATTGTTAAAAAGATTCATATAGAGAAGGTTTTCCTTTTTTTAGTGGGCCCATAGAAAATGTCACCTGGGACAGAATGTAAGTCGATGTAACATAACTTGAGGCGGAGAGAGAAAGAGACAACCATTGGATAGCCATAAAAGACTGCCTGGCTTGAAGGAAACTCTGAAAAAGACTTGGAGAAAGCATATACCGAGCTAGCTTCCTTTGCCCTTAACCTAGATGGATGAACTGGATTTGACGTCCTCTTTTTTGAGTGGGAATATCCAGAACTCTAACTAGATCTTCAACTCCAACCCAAAAACTACAAGGGAAAACTTGATTCTTTATTCTGAAATTGAGCTTGTTTAAGAACTCGAAATGCAAGGCATGACTGAGAGAAGAAAGTGAATTGGATTCGATCCTATGGACCCTTCTTTCGTATGGATACTCATATCAAGACTAGCTGGTCTTTCGTAGCAAGGGAAAAGGAACTCGCCAGAGAAGCAAGCGAAATCAATGCAGTCGTCAGTCAGAACCTTCACTTCAGGGGCCAGCTAGCGGTAACTCTCACTCTCATAAACCCACTAACAGCACTCCTAACTTCACTTCTTCCTAAAACGACGACGAGGAAGAGACATAGAGCGAAGGAATGGTATAAAAGAAAAGGTAGCCACGAGTCCAGCTGGAAAGAGGTTTCAAACTGTATTGCTTACCATCTAAGGGGCAGGTACTGCAACTGGTTCTAGGGGGACAAAAACTGAGTCTAGACAAGAAAGTATTTTTTCTTAAAAAAAGGGCGTCAGATTGCTAAAGCTTAACTGGCTAGAACATAACTTCCAGAAACGTCAACTTCCATTGGAACTCAGAGCGACGGGAAGGGTCAAGGAAAAGAAGGGAAAGGTAACGGAATTCACTCGACTAACGACTAAGAAGGTGAGGAAAAGAGGGGTAGTTCCTCTAACGATGCCTGAATGCTACTTTCGCCTAGTCGGTGAAGCTGCGTCCTCCCCTCTTCTCTTGGTGGCATTTCCCTTGGCTTCCATCACAGAAGATGTCAGCAATAGCAATCCTTCAGTCAATGGAATCAGTAGCTACACTGACCCCTGCACGAAAGTTGTTTTCTAATCGATAGAGCTCGTGGATTTGTTCATTCATAGCATAGAGGTAGATCCTTTCCCGAGCCCGATGATCGAATGTTATCCCTTTCCACTCCTGCTGCATTCCTGACTGCTTCCCTGTTGTGGCTGCGTGTCCTAATCGAAAAGAACTCATCTCATAGGGTCCGTTTCCTTGGCTGACACCGACACCGGCCGATAGAAACTAAGATATAATAGGGAGGGCTGGCCATTCGGTCCCTAATCTCTCTATGTTTGAGTGGCCTATAGGAGAGAGGTTCACCCGGTTATACCACTGTAGGGCCCAATCATCTTATTAAAAGAAAATAAGAAAGTTGACCTTAAGCTGACAAGACAATGATTGATTTCTTTCATAACCTCGACTTCTTTATTTTACTTCAACTTCAATCGGACCGGTCTTCAAAGAAAGATCAGATCTTCCAATCGCTTATGTCAGAGCTGGTTCCTCTGTCAGAGGGTTAGATCATTCACCTATTGGGACAGTAGCTTCACTCCTGGAAAAGAAGAAATGAAATGCTGCTTTGTTTACAAGAAAGAGATTCAAATCTCCAATGTGATACCTAATCCTAACCCAGTCGGCGTAGGCGAGTCACTCGATAAGGCTTTTATCCCAGTCCTGCTAGCCCAAGCTAGTAGTCAGATGAGTATGCCCGGTATGTCTTTCCAAAAGGACAGCT